CGGCGCGAGGAACCCGCGTTGGAGTCGAAAGCCCCCAGCGGCAGAATATTGCTGTCCTGACCATCCCCCCGTGTGTTTTTCAGAAACGCCCCACGTCAGAGGAGGAAAAGGTATCAATACTGCTAATCACCCTTCGCTTCTTCCCTTGTTTTTAGGCTTCCTAGGAGGCCCTCGTCGCCACCGCTGGATCCGCCTCGAAATCTTCGCCAGAACGCACCCCGGGAGAGGTCCGGGGAGTATCGATTTTTCGCTTCCCCATGTCGGAAATTGGATTATGCACATTACCAGTGGCGGGCTGTTTTTTCAATCCCAGACCCTTTTGCGGGTCGAGGACGACGTCGGAGTGGTGTGGTGTATACTTTTTCCCCGCTTCCCCAGGGGAACAACGAACTATGTATACACTAGGATCCCGCATGCACACCAGGACCGGCTCTCCTGCTTGCAAGTTTCAGTGCCGGGTCGGAAAACTCGTCGGTGTACAGAGTTCGGTTCCCTGCCATGATCACCCCCCTTGTCTTGGCATCGCTCGGACGTGTGAATTTTTCCTTCGGCGAGGACCATCGAGGAGCATCATCCTTGATCATTTCGCGAAAAAACCACGCACGAAACCGAAAACAACACAGGAAATGGACCTCCGAGCGATGGCCAGTTGTGCTTCTGCAGAAACGCCATGTGGGCGACGCAGAAGAACAGACGAGGCCCACTGCGCCGAGCTCCGCGCGTGAGCCCCCCCCCCTCGTCAGGTCGCGCGCGAGCGCCCCCGTTTTCAAGGCCGCGTGCCGCGCGGGAGGCCCGCGGAAGCCGCCGCGTGGGGTCGCTGCGTCACCTCGCGTGAGTCAGGAGGGAAAGAAACACACAGACACAATGAATCGTCCACTCCCAGGAAAATATGGGAACAGATGGGAAGTGGAGGGGGAGACAGAAACCCAGAAAATATAGGAAAATATGGGACATCTTCTTTTTATTTGTGTGTATTTATTTGTGTGTCCCAGGGCCCCTTCAGTGAGACCCTTCCGCGTCGCTCACAGATGCGGCACCCCGTCAGCTGGTGTCTCGCGTGCGCCGCCTGGCGTTGTTGCGCAGCCTGGTAGGCTCAAGCCATTGCGAGGTGCCTGACCACAGTCAGGATTGGACAAAAACACAGACACAATTAATCGTCGATTCCCCAGAAAATATGGGATTATATGGGAAGTGGGGGGGAAGGCAAAACCCAGAAAATATGGGAAAAATATAAAGAATCCTGCTATTTGTGTGTATTTGTTTGTGCGTCTTGGGGCCCCTTCAGCTTGGTAGGTTCAAACCATTGCGAGGTGCCCGACCACAGGCCGTTGGCTGCAGAGTCGTCCCGCCTTGTTTAGGGGAACGAGCACTGACATAAACATAAAAACTCGGAGGTCCGCGCGGATTTCTTGGATCGGCGCTGGACCCCCCTCCCTGGCGCGCGGAGCGCGCCAGGGGCGGCGCCGGAGGCGCCGCCAGGGGGGTCCAGCGCGGATCCGAGAAATCCGCGCGGACCTCCGAGTTTATATGTTTATGTCACCTTTTTGCCCCCCCCCATTGTTGCTTTTAGACGCCAGCATTGCATCACAGGGTTCCGATCGATCCGCTTCTGTCCCGATCCTGGCGGGCCCAGCCCGGTGAAGTTCCGGCGTGTTTCGATCCGATTGGGCGCGATGTTTGCACGGCGCTGCTGCGCGTCCATGCGCAGCCGATCCAGTTCGATTCCGACTCCGAACCGGTGCGGGCCGATCCGGTTTGGTTTTGATGGTGTTTGATGTTTTTTGGTTTTGATGTTGCACCACTTATTTTGGTTTTGACGGACCGAGTCGATCCGATGTTTTGGTTATGATGCTGCTTGATGTTGCATCACTTGTAGAGGGGCAGGACAAGCTCATAGTTTTCCGAGTCGATCTGATGTTTTGGTTTTGATGTTATTTGATGTTGCATCACTTGTAGAGGGGCAGGGTCAAGCTCGTAATCTGCCCCTTGTCGGCGGGCCAGTGCATCTCAGCCCCATCCTCCCACCACCCCGGTGGGGGATAGTCAGGAGGGGAAAAAACACACATGCACAATTAATCGTCGATTCCCCAGAAAATATGGGAAAATATGGGAAGTGTGGGGGAAAGACAGAAATCCAGAAAATATGGGAAAATATGGGGAATGTTCTTATTTGTGAGTATTTATTTGTGTGTCCTGGGGCCCCTTCAGATAGGCCCCTCGGAACTCGCAGGGAACAGCCTGTATCGCCATCTGAGGGGGTAAATCGGCAAGTGGGGGGGCCCAGGCCACGCCAGGGCAGGGATCGGTGAACTGATGCTCATGGGCTCAGGGGGGCAAAGGCAGAGGGTCCTCCTGGATGGGATCCTAGCAGATGGGGGCGGAATCTCACGCCGCACTGCTGATGCATCGCCGATGCGGCTCGATGTGGTGCCCGACTTTCTCCGTGCTGGCCTCGCCGATGCACCGCCGACGTCGCCGATGCATCGGCGATGCGGCGCGATCCTCCGACCTCATTCGCTCGAATGCGGCTTGTGGGTCGCGAAATGCGGGGGCGATACATGGGTCGAGTAGGGAATCAATTACGGAATTGATTTACCCCGAAATTGATGTTCGTCGCATCTAGGAAGGAAAACGTAAGACGTTCGTGGACTGCTATGTATTCCTTCGGCGATTCGACGTATTCCTTCGTGGACTGCTACGTACCAGTTCTTGGGTGAATCAGTTATGGGTTTGATCTCCTACTCGCATGGAGGGGCAGCGAGGGCTGCTCAAGAGGGGCCCTTGAGGGCCCCAGCAAGGAGCCCTTCAGGGCCGGGGCCCGAAAAGGCTGGCCTTCCTTCTCGTTAAGCCGGGCACGTCCGTCTACAGGAGGAAATCCAGAAAGAGTCAAACATAGTTTTGGGACGATTTGTTTTTAACTGTTGTGGGAAACTTAAGATGTTTTAATTTTTCGTCCAACCTAACTTTGCCGCCCCCCATTTCTTCGCGCCCAAGCGGCGGATGCGGCGGATGGGTTCCACGATGCTCCCCCGCGAGCCTCAAGGCGGGCGTGGCCCTCACACAGGAGGAATATTCAAAAATAGCGGAAAAAATATTATGGGATTCTCTTGTATATTTCTTCAGCATATGTGCATATTTTTTTGCTTGTGAAATAGTGAAAAATAGCGAAAAATAGTCTTGGGACGATTTGTTTGATCTTTTTGGGGATCTGTGAATCTTTTCCTGACGAGGTTTCCTCCAGAATCCGCACGTGGGAGGACCTGCCCGAAATTCAAACGTGCAGGAATCTTCAAAAACAGTTAAAAATTGTCCGGGGACGATCCTCCTGTAGTCCCTGACAATATGCGGATATTTTTTTGGCTATGCTTCACTTTCCTCACGCACTTTTTGCACAGCGAATGCAAGCTGCTGATTGCCTCTCTCGTGGCCAGGGGGTTGGGACCCTGGCTCCTGCTTTCGCCCTCGCAAACACTTGAGAGGAAACATGCTACAAGCAAGACGGGAAGAGGAGTGCGAAGCCCCATTCAGGGGCCGAATCCGTCTACCCCAGGCTCTGGTGCCTTTACAAATTCAGACAGCAATGGGACGATCCACCTCTGGGACCCCATCCTTCCTACCCATGGAGTTTGCAATGTCCTGCAAATTCATCCGCCCATTGCGAAAACTTATGCGGATATCTTTTGGGGCACTTTGGCCCGACATGTTTTGCAAAAGTGTGGATTCCTCCGACTCCAAAAACTTCCGCACCACTCTCTGCAGCCCACGCTGGAGAATGGGATGAAAATCGGTGTTCAACCATACTGTGTTCGAGCTACACGGACGCCCCCGGGCTGTTTTAGCTAGTGGGGCGTTGGGGTCAACCCCCTCCAGGGACCTGAGTACCGCGGGAGGGGCCCTTTGAAACCTGAAACGCTCAATGATCTGCTCTGCTACGTGGCCGCGGTCCTGGGCCTCGGAACACAGCCGAAGCTGCGATTTCAAAAACCCCAGGGGCCAATATGTGACAGCCGTGCTGTGCCCAGAAGTGTGGTCCAAAACTGGACTGGTCACGTCTCTGGCCTTCGGTGCTGTGCAGATCCTGCCATTCCGTTTGAAAATGCGCATGCTCAGAAATTCAATTTCACGTGCCGACACACCCTCAAGCTGTACATCGAAAATGACTCTGGCACGCTGTTGTAAATGGACGAGAACACGATGAGGCGACATGAAGTCAGGGAACTCCGCGTTTCGCCTCGCCACGGCAAAAATGTCATCTTTGAATCTGAAATAGCATCGGATGCCGTACTGCTGATCGATCGTGGTGCCTCTGGTCGCCCAGCCTCGTTCGACGAGGACGTGAAAAGCAGCTTCTGCAACTGGACCGGAATGGGGAAGTCCCATGCCTGAACCACGCTGCACCAGCCAAATACGCCCAGGGGCGCACTCTGATACAATCCATTGGTTCTCAAGCAACCAGAGCAATACCTCCTTAACCAACGATCTACGTGGACCTTCTGGTAGAATCTGTATTGCCGTCTCCGCCAAGGTGGTGGGCTCGCCTGACATGAAAAAATGCTTCACGTCGAAGCGTAAGAACCGATCTTCATCCCCAACGGGTTCAGCAGTATTCAAGTCTGGCACTTTGTGTGCAAACTCTTCGGGCGATCTTAATACAGCATTTGTGTCAAGATTGTCAAGGGCGTCCTGCAACTGCTTGGCAACCCACAACGACAAACCTCTTTGCATGTTTCGTGGTGCAGTGTGCAAGTTCCTGAAAGTTACGTTTCCCGCGCGCTTATGTGTCTTACACGTGAGTTTGAGTGCATTGGTCCACACCGCCTTTTCCACTCCAAGGGATCTGTCCAGATGGCGCACGCCAGCTGGGACACTTTGCGGGTCAGGCGGCGGTACGCTGTAAACAAAGGTCGGTCCTGGAAATCCCATGGAACTTCCCAGTACTCAGGCCCGTTCAACACCGTAAGGTGGGCCTCAACATACTGTTCCTGGGTTAAGACAGTGAAGCCGGGCTCCTTGTCATTAGGCACTGCAACCAATCGCCGCTCCTCCATCATGCTGCGGGCGAGCTTGATGGCAGGGTACATGTTTGAAAACTCTCGAGCACGAATGTGTTTCGACCGGAGCTTCTTGAATGCGTGCACAACTGTTTGCCGGAATTGCGACAACCACGCTTTCAACGCTGGCTCCACAACAACATTTGGTGTAGGGGTCCGTGTGTGCGGGATTCGGTAGGCACATCCCCCAATGCCCTTATGAAACCACCTCCACACGACTTTGTTTTCAAATTGTTTCACATCATCTGTAAACTTGTCTAATCGCGGAAGGGCTCTGCCGTAGAATATGTGTTTGCGGCTGTACCTCCCCAACAGCCAAAGGATGGGCCATGGCAGGCCCTCAGCTGGAATGTTGTCGCGCCTCCCCGAATCGTATACATAGACATGGGAAGTGACACTAGGGAACACTGCCATCTTCTCCCAATCTAGCATAGTAGATCCACGCATCAAGAATTCCAACCGATTCGCTTCTTTATTTGATATTCTACTTGCTCTTAAAGATGCCCTCCACCGACCGGTCCTCAATACTTTTTTGCACCGGCGTACTGACGTGTGCGCCATTTGCTGTTGGCGCCCCACTTCTTGGTCCATTGCCACGTTTTTGGCGATGTCCATGCCGGTGCTGTGTGCCACGCTTGCCCCACCCTCCCAGGTGGGGACGCGCCGTTTCCCTGACCTTTTCCTTCGCGGTACTTATTTTTATCCTTGCTCTTGCCCTTACCTTTGCCAGGTTCCTTGCCTTGGTCGTTCCACTTATCTTTATATTTATTTTTGTCTTTGCCCTTACCTTTGCCTTTGTCGCTATCCTTGCATTTCCCTTTGCCTTTGCTCTCATGGTTTGTCTGGGACCGCTTTGCTTTGGTTTGCTCTTCTCTTTTCTCCTTCTTCAAGGCCCGTTGTTCTCTTATCTTTTTTTGCCGGGCTTCTTCTATGGCTTCTACCATCTTTTGTGCATCATCCTGGTCGCTTGCCTCTGCCTGGGTTTGCTGGTCACCTCCACCAGACCATTGACTAATCTTGGCATCGACCTCGCGGCCAATGATGGACTTCAGGATGTCGGCCGGCTTTGCTTTTGCATCCTCCTCGTCCTGCTTCCTTTGCTGTTCCTTCTGCTCCTTTTTCTGCTTGTCCTCCTCCTCCAAAAGCTTGATAATCTTGTCGTGGACCTCTGTGTACAACACCTCGGCCCTCCGACGAACAAGCAACTCATTAGGACGTGGCCGATCAGGCTCATCAAGAACAAGAGACGATAATGCACGCCTGGACTCTTCATCCATCGCAATGTCCTCCTCTGCGCCATCAGTGCTGTTCACTTTGCAGGTCTCGTAGAAGGCCTTCTTGGATGTGAGTGGCTTCAACGCCTCCAGGTGGTCCTGCACGGCCTCGGAGTACACCGACTTACTGATGCGGGTCCACTCGTGGTGCACCAGCGCCAAAACACACCTGCGCGACATACCCATGGCAACGGGGATGCGAATTTCAAATGCTTGGTTCTTGGAGGCGTTCCACTGGTCATCCAACTCTCTGATCTCGCTGGGGGATTTGAAAGGTCGGACTCCGGGTGGATACCTGTGGCTCTCCACGGTGTGCATGTTCTCCGACAGGACGGTAATCTCCGCTTCTACTTTTTTGAATGTCTTCTCAGTGGTCATGTACTTCTTCAACGTCTTTTCGAATTTCCTGGATGCCTTTACTAGGTGTTTTTCTACTTCTGGTTTTATTTCTTTTTCCTCCTCGAACAGCGTCTCATCTTCCCTGGGTCCTGCGTGAGGTTCGGGAGTCGGATGTCCTCCTGCCGGTGCGTGAGCAAAGCCTACTTGTACAAGTGCAGGCCCAGCTGCCTCGACAGATGCATGGGACTGGATCGCTTGCACCGCCTCTGCCGCGGCTCTGGCAGTCTCAGCTGCTGCCACCGCTGCGGACGACACTGTGGCAAGTGTGGCAGTCTGCGTGCTGATCAACTTCATCATCTCTTCAAGCTGCTCAAGGATCTTCTGCGAACTTATATCGTTCCTGGCTGGTCCTCCTTTGCTGTCTCCCTTCCTCCTGTCATCTCGGTTGTCGTCTTCCCGTTTCGGTTTCGACCTCGATCTCCGAGAGGGAGGAGGGCCACGCTCGATCTCACGAGAAGCTTCCGCAAAGCTTGGACGAAGATCTTCGCCGTTGCCGCCCATCTTCGGTAATCCGGGCAGCGATGCAGCCGATCGCTGTGAGAATATCGGAACTCACTCACGCACTTTTTGCACAGCGAATGCAAGCTGCTGATTGCCTCTCTCGTGGCCAGGGGGTTGGGACCCTGGCTCCTGCTTTCGCCCTCGCAAACACTTGAGAGGAAAAATGCTACAAGCAAGACGGGAAGGAGTGCGAAGCCCCATTCAGGGGCCGAATCCGTCTACCCCAGGCTCTGGTGCCTTTACAAATTCAGACAGCAATGGGCTCATGGGCTCAGGGGGGCAAAGGCAGAGGGTCCTCCTGGATGGGATCCTAGCAGATGGGGGCGGAATCTCACGCCGCACTGCTGATGCATCGCCGATGCGGCTCGATGTGGTGCCCGACTTTCTCCGTGCTGGCCTCGCCGATGCACCGCCGACGTCGCCGATGCATCGGCGATGCGGCGCGATCCTCCGACCCCATTCGCTCGAATGCGGCTTGTGGGTCGCGAAATGCGGGGGCGATACATGTGTCGAGTAGGGGATCAATTTCGGAATTGATTTACCCCGAAATTGATGTTCGTCGCATCTAGGAAGGAAAACGTAAGACGTTCGTGGACTGCTATGTATTCTTTCGGCGATTCGACGTATTCCTTCGTGGACTGCTACGTACCAGTTCTTGGGTGAATCAGTTATGGGTTTGATCTCCTACTCGCATGGAGGGGCAGCGAGGGCTGCTCAAGAGGGGCCCTTGAGGGCCCCAGCAAGGAGCCCTTCGGGGCCGGGGCCCGAAAAGGCTGGCCTTCCTTCTCGTTAAGCCGGGCACGTCCGTCTACAGGAGGAAATCCAGAAAGAGTCAAAAATAGTTTGGGGACGATTTGTTTTTAATTGTTGTGGGAAACTTAAGATGTTTTAATTGTTCGTCCAACCTAACTTTGCCGCCCCCCATTTCTTCGCGCCCAAGCGGCGGATGCGGCGGATGGGTTCCACGATGCTCCCCCGCGAGCCTCAAGGCGGGCGTGGCCCTCACACAGGAGGAATATTCAAAAATAGCGGAAAAAATATTATGGGATTCTTTTTTATATTTCTTCAGCATATGTGCATATTTTCTTGCTTATGAAATAGTGAAAAATAGTGAAAAATAGTCTTGGGACGATTTGTTTGATCTTTTTGGGCATCTGTGAATATTTTCCTGACGAGGTTTCCTCCAGAATCCGCACGTGGGAGGACCTGCCCGAAATTCAAACGTGCAGGAATCTTCAAAAACAGTTAAAAAGTGTCCGGGGACGATCCTCCTGTAGTCCCTGACAATATGTGGATATCTTTTTGGCTATGCTTCACTTTCCTCCAGAACCCGCACGTGGGAGGACCTGCCCGACCTCAGCGTGCAGGGAGGCCCCGCGGCGCCAGACTGGATGAGCCTGGCGAGCTTTCGGCCTTCAAAGGGTTTTAAAGGCATCGTTCCCGCCCCCGAACTCCGTTGAGTTCCTCCTCCTCCTCCTCCTCTCCCTCCTCCTCTCCCTCCTCCTCCTCCTCCCCCTCCTCCTCCGCCTCCGCCTCCTCCTCCTCCCCCCCCTCCTCCTCCTCCTCCTCCTCCCCCTCCTCCTCCTGGCCCCGCGCCCCGGCCTCCCGCAGGACGCCCACGCGCTGCTGCAGGCGCCCCCCCGCCTCGTGCGCGCCCCCGGCCCGCCCGCGCCGGCGCGGCAGGCCGCCGGCCGCCCCCGCGCCGCGCAGGGGGGCGCTGCGCAGCCCTGGGCCGAAGTCGGGCGCGCCCCTCCACTGGAGGAATGATCAAACAAAGATGTTTTGATTTTTTGTTTTTAAGATTTGTTTCATACGTTTGACTGTTTAGTATGTTTGGTTGTGTTTTTGATATGTGTGATGTTTTGATGTTCTTGTTGTTAAGATATATGGTATAGTTTTGGTTGTGTCTTGTTTGTTTTGATTTTCTTATTTTAAATTTTCAAAATAGATGTTTTTGTTTAATACAGTTCTGGTCGTGTTTGAAAAATGTTTAATATATTGTTGAGTGTGTTTTAGGATATGTTTGATTGTGTTTACACCTCAGGAAAACCCAATCAGTGGAAGGTGTTCGTTTAGGAGATCGACCGGGAACCTGGGAGCCCAGGGCCCCAGAGCGCACCGAAATCGGCCCACCTACAGGAGGAATAATCACATTTGTAATGCTAAGAATAGATTGTTTTGTTAGTTTGAGCGATTTTTTATACATGGTTTTGAATGTGTTTGTTTGGGGGGGGGTTTGGATTGTAGATCTTAGGTCCGCAAGGGCTTCGCCCCCTGCCGCCGGCCCCCTTTCTCGGAGAATGCGCTATGCAAGAGCTAAGTCATGAGGCCTGGGCGCTGTCGTGAAGCAGTATCGGAACTTCATGCGAGGCCGACTCGTAATGAGCAAAACCACTAGATGACCAGAGGGGTTACCACACCTGGCGATTGGGAAGACGTCGTGACCCTGCTGATCTGCGTGAGGGGTGCCGCCGAATTTCAGAAATGTGGCAAATCCCTTGTGTTTTTGGACCCTGACCCCGCCGATCTGCGTGAGGGGTGCCACCGAATTTCAGAAATGTGGCACATCCCCTGTGTTTTTGGACCCTGACCGCGCCGATCTGCGTGAGGGGTGTTAATTTTCACCCCTCGAGAAATTCTGAGAACCCTCCCAGGGCGTGGTAAAATGTCCGGTTTGGGCCTCCCCCCCTCGCGCGGTCCATCAACAAGGAACAGTAAGCAGCAAGAAAACAGCAAGGAACAGTAAGCAGCAAGAAGCAGAATTGTAACAGTGGAAATTGGAAGCTGCAACTTGTACAGGAAACTCTGAATTCCCGGCCTACAGCCTGGTGGCCCCTCAAGGGAGCCGGCGGATTTTGACGTTTGGATTTTTTGAATTGTTTGTTTGAATATGTTTGACTATGTTTGACTATGTTTGATTGTTCGTCCAAAATCCGCCTGTAGGGGGGACACGCCCGACCTGAGCGCGGCCCTTGGCTTCGCTCGGACGTGGGCATATGTTTTCGGCGAGGGCCATGGATCAGAAGCGGGGGAGGTACCCATACCGCTGGCATTGGCCCGTTTTCCCCTCGTTCGGGGCCTCCTGGCAGGCCCTCGCCGCCACCGCTGGATTCGCCGCGAGGTCCTGGTCAGACGGCACCCCAGGAGAGGGCCGGGGCGCAGCGGTATCGGTACCTTCTGGTTTTCAGCCACGCGCAGAGGGTGGTGGGGGGAGGGGGGAGGGCTTCTTAGAAGCACCCCTGGTTCTTAGAAGGCGCGGGCCTTATGTGTAGATGTGGGGCCGGCGCCACCCCCTTGTGCGCACCGCCATGGTTTCCCCGAGCGAGGAGCATGTTTGGGCCACCCTGCGACCTCGTACACGCGCGACCTCGAGAAAGAAAGGCACCTCGAGGTCGCCTCGAGGTCCTGGTCAGACGGCACCCCGGGAGAGGGCCGGGGAGCAGCGGTATCGCTACCTTCTGGTTTCCCCAGGCGAGGAGCAGTTTGGGCCACCCTGCGAACTCGTACACGCGCGACGGCCTCGAAAGAGAGAGGCACGGGGAGTGGGCGTCGGAGCGAGGGCGAGAGAGAGCCCACCTTGTCACCCGCAGCAGGGGCTCCCCACGCCGGAGCTGGGAGCACCCAGGGGGTCCTCGCTGGGGGGAGGAGGTCTCGGAGGAGTGAGTGAGTGAGAACAGTCGCGATGCGAGTCGAAACGAGCCTACGAGCGCTTACGAGTGAGCTTCTCGGCCTTGCTTAAAGCCTTCGGCCATCGATCGGTTTCGATCCGATTTAAATACTCAGCTCGATTCGCATTCGTTCGCCTGGGACATTCCTGACCCAAGCACCTGATGACACTACTGGCATAATACCCGCATCGCGAGCAAAACCAGAGGCCCAAGGATTGATGCAGACGCATTGTGTGGCTACGATGTACCCAGCCCCCCCCTACATGTAATGCAACCCCCGACGGCAACGCAGAGAACCTACCGTCCACAGGAAGAGGTTTAAAACAAGGGGATAAAATCCACTCGGACTTGGCGGCCTGGGTAGCGGAGCTACAACATATTTTACAGCGCTTGCCAGAATCATCAAGGACGTGACTGGTGGCGAACTGGCGGCACACAGAAGGGGCTGGAGGCGGCGGTGGTTCACACGCAGCCTCTTTTTTTCCTCCTCGGACCACCGGCCATCGCCAGCTCACGCTCAACATCCAGTGAATCAATCGTGGCACGAACAAGCCTGACACGAATCTGATATGCCTCTTTTTCAATTTTGTGCACACGATAGCGCTCGGACTCGTCCAAGCGCACACGACTGGCAGCCAGCCCAGCGAGCTCGTCCACCGCCGCGTTGCCGACTGCGAGCCGCCACGGCGCAACTCCCTGGGCAACCTGCAGCGGGGACAGGTGCGAGTTCACGAAGAGGACCGTGAACTCCGCTGGGTCCCGCCCTGTGAGGGCCTGGCCGACTTGATGCCACAAATCCGCGTCCTCGCCGACGGGCCACAAGTACCTCCTCGAGTACCAGCCGTCCGCCACGCCACTGTTGTCCGTGACGAAATTGACAACTCCTCTCGACATCCTGAGTGCCGTGAGCAGGGCGAGCAACTCTCCGCGGGGCACACTCTGCCGCGCCCCTGGGAGTCCGCCCATCACCATGCCGTCGATGCCCAGCGCGATACGCTCCGCACTCTGCGCAAAAATCTCAATGTCAGCATGCTCCGCAACACGAATGGTTTTGAAGAAACTCTGCCAACGTCGCCATGATGGATCTCCATTCTTTCTGGCCTGGACTCGAAGTCCCGTGTGTGCCTGCTGAGGGCACTCTGAGACCAGCTCACCGATAGATATGAATAAAAACTCTCTCTGCTTGCCACCGTTCTGCCGCCTGGAGTGACGCCCCAGGCTGAAAAAGTAGTGTGTGTAACCTGGCCCACCAGCCTGCTAGTTGATCACGCGACGCTGCCGCCCGATGCCGAACAGAATGGTGTACCACGCTCTCTTTGAAACTGGGCCCAGCACTGCGACTGACCTCAGACAAGTCCTGACTGCCATGGTGCTCGTGTAGAGAGGTTTCAACAGTTCGCACCCACGCTGCGTACAAGGAGCTGACTGCCTGGGCCGAGCTCTGAGACATAAGCCGAACGGCTACGGAGGCGAGG